ATGTCAAGACGCAGCAAGCGGCGCACTACGTACCGCAGGGTTCATGTAGGGGTCTTGATAAGGCTTGTCCGCTACGTGTCAGCTCGAGTTCGGAGACGTTCCCGGAACGCAATTCACCTGATAGAACTATTCGACGAGGAGTCAGCACTCAGGCTCAGAGGGCGACACAGGAATCAGTACCTTGTATTCCACGCCGCCGATGCTGGCGGTATCAACATAGCCGTGGCCCGCAGCCAAGGTCGCTAGTCCGAGGACCTCGAGTGCTTTTGTGAGCTTCACCATCTTGATGACGTCTTCGTTCGAAGTTGGGTCTGTTCACAGAAATCTCGCCTCAAAGCTATAGTCTGCTATAGTGGTTGAAAGTAAGTAGCCGGCGCCCGCAACGTCTTTTATACCACCCGAACCAGTGCCCAGCATCCCGTGTTCTACGAGGTCACGAACCCGTCGGCTCAAGCAAACAGCCGCGCCGCGCCGCCAAGCCGCCTCATCGCATTCAACGGCCCCACCTCCGCGTTTCGCTACCAAAAGGGGCCGTCCGGAGTCTCTCACTGCGCGGGATGCCCCCCGGCTGTCGTCATGAGAGGCACGCGGCGCACCAAAGGGGGCCCTGTGTAATATACATCAGTGGGGTTCGCCGTCCGATGACCCGGCCTCGATGTGGGATTGATCGGCGGCATGGTCGGCAAAGGCCCAATGGCGGAGTGGGTATGCCGTCGGCTCACCGAGACAGGCAACCGAGAGTACTCACGACACGTGAGGTTCCGATGCTGCAGCCGATGAGGGGCGCGGTGCTGCAACTACTGAAAAAAATTAGTCTTCTACAGGAATTCCGGGTGCGTCTTTGTTGACCCTGCTTGGGAAGTGTACATGTCCAGGAGAGTGTTCCGACACGTCATTGGAAGGTCAGAAGCTACAGAAGCTCCAGGCAAGCAAGTTACCTGCCGTCGTTGCTCAACTCTTGGGGCCGTGAGAGGTGCTCAGGTTGTGTTAGAAAGTCAGTGCGCTCTGCGCAATGTCTATCTTTTGCTCCGAGACTGATAATAACGTTGACTGAAATATTCCGATTCAGGCCCTTTCAGCACTTGACCAGGCAGCAAAGAAGCAATAGCCGCTGCTAGAAAAGGTACGAGCAAAGATATGTATATTACCTCTCCGAGAGAAAGCAAGACCACATTTCTGTGGTCATCTAGGACCTAACAGCTGTGCCTGGATCTGACTATGCCGTCCAAAAACACGACAAAGTGCCTAACTAGAATCGAAGATACTCATCACCTTTAGTTTGTCTCATTGGCACGTGTATTAGTCTTCAAAGTCAAATGCATTCACAAACGAGATGGCTCAAGAAGCTTGAATCTAGAACGTGCAGTAGCTCTGACGATGCTTTTTTATCTTCAGATCCGTCACTGAAAGCAATGAGCGTATGCCTGAGGTCTCTGTATTAGCTGATGCGTGGCAACGCACGAGTCTGGCCTTCACGATTGTCAGCTCAGTCTCGTAAGTGACAAAGATACAGGGCAGTGCCCTGAAGAATGGCGTTGAGATTATTAGCATGCAGAAGGTTGGGATGAATGGAACTTATAAAGACAATCGGTCTTCCTATGGAGAAGGATAAGCTGAACAAGGCAAGCTGTGCCATACTCATGCTTACGTTTCGGCGCAACCACATCTCAGATAGAGTTTCTCCTGGGTTGACCTTCTCACCTCAATTTCACCAGCTAAATTGGCCGATGAAATAACAAAACAAGAGGCTCAGTAGAGAAAATTTCAAATCCAGAAACGACCGGCCTGACAGGACGAAGTCGGTCCCATCAATCTGGCGACTGCGCGGGCAGCTGTCGAATCCTTTGCGTGGCGTAAAATTTTCCACTCTATCAGGGTCTATTCTGTTCCGAATCTTGCAAATTGTTGTTGACGTCAAGCCTTTCGATAACTGCTGCTTCTGAAGATGCCAGTGCTGTCGCCTCCTGTGGTGGCGTGTCCGGAGCTGGTCAAAGGCATTTCCGCCAATAACGCCTGCAGCTGAGATCATCGAGAACCAAGCTGAGAGCATGTGTGGGAGAGAACCTACTACAATGCGACCCTATGATGCTTTGCCTACCCTGCTAAGTTGCCATTCTCGGCGCTTTGCAACACTGGCGAACAAAAGCCGATATGGTCTGCATAGGGAGGCCTGGTTTGTGTAGCGTAGCTTGGGCGCATCCTTAGCGATGGACAAACCCGAGATCCAAACCAGATAATCCTGACGGCTCGACGTGGACTGGATGGGTCCCTTGTGAAGCCAGCAATCGGGGAGACATTTCAGGCAAGAATCGACAGGTTTGTCAGAGAAGACCGAGGGGAACGACTATTTAACGCTTCTTGGCGTCGTCCCCCATTTGGAGCTCAGCGGCCGATTTGGTTGTCTTGGTATTGGCAGAAGGCGCTACACTACTGTATCTGAAGCAGATCGGACTTAAGGGCATGACGAGAACCGAGATGAGGGTAACTTGACGGGCAGTTCCCCTGCAAAGAACACTTGTTTGCTGGCCCCGATCGGGACACGGAGACAGTCCCACGAGGCCCTTGCGGACTAGCCGCAGGGGGCGATTGGCGGCATTGGGAGGAACTCCGATGCAACTCCCGAACACATGGGAGGTTTCTCCACGAGTTTAAGTTTTGGCTTGCAACCCCAGGTTTTCCGAACATGCCAAGAAGATAGTGTTGGACGAGATGCGGAGCTGTTGAACGATGGTAGGTCAAGACACCCACAAACTCCAGCACTGCCTCGTTGAGGGGTTGCTGGACATGTTTGACTGAAATATTTGCCAGTCCTGAAATTAAAATGAAGAAAGTGGAAAAGGAGTATTACGATCCGAGGTGTCTTGAGTGGTGGGAAATCCGAAGAGAAATAGATGAATGGGACAACTTGCTCAATCAGATTGTCCGCAACATTCACTGTGACTTGGGGGAAAACTTGACAGGAGGGTCAAGCTCAAGGAGGGGCATAAAGCCCGCGTCTGCCCATGGAGTTGAAGTCCTGTTCTGTAGATCTTTACCTCAACATTGTTTTCCCACATAGGATCTGCAACCGTGATCGACCCGAGACCCGAGCCCGATCTCTCACATCGTCCCAGACTTTCACAACCCTTGCAATGGAGCTGAAGAACCTAGCCCTTATGGCCTTTTTGGGTCTGGCCTCTGCTCAACAGCAGCCCTATGGCCAATGCGGTGGACAGGGCCACACCGGCCCGACGACTTGCACCTCTGGTTTGTACACCTGATGTTTCGGAAGATTTGAGCTTTTTGAACCGCTGAGGCTGACATCGACTACAGGATGGACCTGTGTGGTCTCTAACCAGTGGTACTCACAGTGTCTCCCCAGCTCGAGCAGCCCTCCCCCGAGCAGCCCTCCTCCGAGCACTCCGCCGCCAAGCACTCCCCCTCCGAGTACTCCTCCTCCGAGCACACCCCCTCCGAGCTCGCCTCCTCCTTCGAGCGGTGGCAACTCGTGCGGACCAGCTCCCATTGACCAGCTCGTCGGCTACGGTGCTGGCACCACGGGTGGTGGCAGCGGCAGCGGTGTGACTGTCACTTCTTGCGCGGCTCTCAAGACAGCCATTGCTAACGCTGGCGTCATCCGCATCTCCGGCATCCTTTCGGGCTGCGGCCGCATGGACCTTCTGGCTGGTACGAGTGTCATCGGTGTCGGTGCTTCCTCCGGTCTCCGTGACGGCGGCTTCCGTGTCCGCCGCACGGGCAACGTAATCATCCGCAACCTCGTCTTCCACAACCCCATCCCGGGTGGCGACATTGTGTCTCTCGACCAGGCAGTCCGCGTATGGGTTGATCACTGCGACTTCCGTAGCGATGGCATCGTTGGCGACAAGGATTACTTTGACGGCCTTCTTGACGCATCGCACGCCTCGGATCAGATCACCATCAGCTGGAACAAGTTCCACGACCACTGGAAGGGCTCCCTCGTCGGCCACTCCGACAACAACGCCTCTGAGGACCGCGGCAAGCTGCGCATCACCTACCACCACAACCACTTTTACAACGTCAACTCCCGCCTGCCCTCGATCCGCTTTGGCACCGGCCACATTTACAGCTCGTGCTACGAGAACAACCCGACATCCGGCGTCAACTCGCGCATGGGCGCCCAGGTCCTCGTCGAGAACACTGTCTTCATCAACACGAACCAGGCCATCGTCACGAACCTCGACAGCGACGAGCCGGGTTTCGCTGTTGAGAGGAACAACCTCTTCACCAACAGCCCCATTGGCATTACCCAAACGGGCTCTTACTCGCCTCCTTACAGCTACACGTGAGTCCTAAAGCATCGCCGTGAGCACAGTAAGGTATTCTGCTGACATTCAATAGTCTTGACCCGGCCTCGTGCGTCTGCGCCCTCGTCAAGGCCCGCGCTGGCACTGGTGTTGTGGCTTAGTCCACTCACAGCCCCAGCCATCGTTGGGCTCATTGGCGCCGAAACTTTGCGGCCGTCACCAAATGGTCACTGCTTTAGGGGAGGATGATCGAGATTGTTGAGTTGACGGCTCAGTTGGAGTTGGCGGTTTTTGCCGTTTCCCGCATCAGAAGATTGCTAAGGGCTCTGCTGTGGTGGGCGGCGACGGCGGATCAGCCGAGGTAGCGTGTATCGGGCGTCCTTCTTTTCCGTCTCGTTCGAAAACAGAGAGTATTGCGCTGGATCTCGATGATGCCTCTCTGTCTTGCCTTATTCAGATTGTTGTCATTAGTTTTCGCCTGTGGCTGTTAGGCTTTACATCAATCAACCAAGCATCTGGCCAAAACTTCGCATAGGACAGCCTCAAACGTGTTTGGCGTCTTCACCACTCCTAGATAAATCCCTTCGTTTGGGTATCGTAATTGGGCGCTGTCGTACGGCGACAGGGGAATGCCCGTCTGACACCAGGATAATCAATTGAGCCCGTCCAAGCAAAGTATGAACGCTCTCTATTATGAAGGCATAAAAGCCAGGTCTATCGTCTTTCGAACAAGTACAAATCCCGCAACCTGGATCTCCTTACTGCAGCATCTGCTGCATGGCGTTGATGCGATAGCTCTCCCTTCTCTCCATGAGCTCCGCGTGGCGGCCCTGATCGACAATCTTGCCGCCCTCGACGACGAGGATCACATCCGCCTTCTGCACCGTGTGCAGCCTGTGCGTAATGGCCAGCACGGTGGTGCCCCTCGAGGCCCTCTCGAGACCCTCCTGCAGCGCCGCCTCACTCGCGGCGTCGAGCGCGCTCGTGCTCTCGTCGAGCAGCAGCAGCCTCGGCTTGCGCACGAGGGCGCGCGCAATGGCGAGTCGCTGCCTCTGACCACCCGAGAGCCTCTGTGCCGAGGCGCCACACTCGCTGTTGTAGCCGTCAGGCAGCGCCATGATTGTGTCGTGGATGTTGGCAAGACGGCACGCCTCCTCAATCTCGGCATCCGTGGCCTCGGTGCCGGGTGCAGCACCTAGGCCGACATTGAAGCGCACGGTGCCGTCGAAGAGCGTCGGGTCCTGTGGCACCAGGGCGATGGATTCGCGGAACGAGGATGGCAGCGGCTTGAGGTCCTGGCCGTCCAGGGAAATGGTGCCTGTTGTCGGGTGGTAGAGTCGCTGGACGAGTGACATGATAGTACTCTTACCAGCACCTGAGGGACCGACAAGGCCTGCGGGAGGGTTTTGTTAGTCACACATTCTTCATTTTGAAAGATCGCGTAATGATCGTGCTTACCGCAGAATTGACCAGGCTGCAGAGTGAAGGAGACACCATCGAGAACAGGCACGTCGGGACGGTTTGGGTATGTGAAACCAACGTTGTTAAACGTAACCTTGGCGCCACGGCTCTCGCCCTTGAAAGGCTGCTTCAGCTGCACTTCGTTGGCGGCCTCGGCATCAGCACCATCGCTGCTTCGGGCGGTCTTGTCGCGGGTCTTGCTCTCGCGCGCCGTCTGCAGCGTCTTGAGCTGGGCCTTGCTGAGATCGCGCCCGGATCCGAGGTTGATGACGTTCAGGATGCGCGAAACAGCGAGGCGGGCCCTCGAAAATTCGGGCGCCAGCGAGAACATGGTGCCCCAGAGCTGCGCGCTGACGAGCATGGCGATGAGGATGATGAAGAACTGCGTCTGGCTGTACTCACCACGCATGATGAGCTGGGAGCCCCACCAGTACGAGAGACAGTAGATGAGCGTGCCCATGCTGTGCTGCATGGCGAGCCAGATGTTGGTCGAAGCCGACGAGCGGAAGATCATCTTCTGAGGTCCACGGAGCAGGCGCGTGTAGGAACCCATGATCTCACCCTCGAGCGACAGCGCCGCGATGGTGCGGATCGAATGGACGGCCTCGACGGCAACGGCCGTCGCGTCCGCAAAGGCGCCGGCCTGGCGTTCTTCATAGCGAGCAGCATGCGCAGCTGCATGATGCCGGCGCCGAGAGAGGGGATGCTGCGAGACAAACGATGGCGATCTTCCATCAAGCGATGATGGGGACAGGATAATGGCGATGAAGAAGTTTGACGCCAATGGCGAAGACTGTACCGATGGTCGAGCCACCGAAGGCCGCACTGTCCTTGGTGATGATGGTGAGCAGCTTCGTGGGCGTCTCGGACTGGTGCCAGTCGAGGTCCTGCTCAAGCAGGGAGCGGAAGGAGAGAACGCGGACAGCGTAAAGCATCTTCTCGGCCACGACGCCGAAGAGGACCATGCGACAAAGTTGGCGAAGAACTCAATGCAAGCCAGCATAAAGATCATGCCGGCAAAGAATCGTCCGAGGTCGAGGATGCGCTCGACCGTGTTGGCGCAAGGGTTCAGCGCACCAACAGTGTAACCGAGAATGACACCAGCAGAGGAGAACGTGCAGCCAACAATGGCGGCAGCGATAATGGCGCCCACGAGCCACAGCAGTGACGGACGAACGAGGCGGCCCAGTCCCTTGGTGACAAAGAAGAAGGGCTGCTTCGTATCCAGCTCCGTCTTGGGCTCTTCCTCCTCCTTGTCCTCTTCCTTGCCTTTTTCGGCGGCCTCCTTGGCAGAGGACTCCTTGCTCAGGATGTGGTCGGCAGGGTCAAGCTTCTCCGAGGGGAAGATGTCGGTCTTGAGCGTAGAGGCATCTAGAGAGTCGCCAGAGATGGAGCTGGCCTCGCCACGGTCGACAGTGCCCACAGACTGCAGGCTGGCCATTCGGGCGAACACACCGCCTTCAATGGCCATCAGGCCAGCGTAGGAGCCCTGCTCGACGACCTGACCGGCTTCCATGACAACAATGTTGTCTGCCTTGCGAATCGTCGACAGACGGTGGGCGATGGAAATGACTGTACGGTGCTTGGCGGCGCGCTCAACGGCTTCCTGGATGCGGCGCTCGCTGGCAGAGTCGAGGGCCGCAGTGGCCTCGTCAAGGACTAGGATCTGGGGGTCACGAATGAGTGCCTGGGCGAGGGCGATCCGCTGACGTTGGCCACCGCTGATGAGAGAACCACCAGGACCAGCGACGGTGCCATAGCCGCTCTCGAGGCGCTCGATAAAGCTCGCGGCATCGGCCTGGTCGGCAGCGTCATGAACGAGCTTGACGATCTCAACGGCTTCGGGGCCAAGGGCCTCAGCAGAAGCGCTGAGGTCTTTGCCCTTGTTGCCGAGCTCGGTAAGGTTGTTCCAGTTGAGGAAAGACTTGAGGTGAGCGTGGGCAGGCTTGGTCGTGTTGACAAGACCGAGGGCAATATTCGTCAGGATTGAACTGTTGAGCAGGGTAGGTTCCTGTTGGACGAAACCCATGTGGCTCCTAAGATTGCGAAGGTTGATATTGCGAATATCTTGGCCGTCGTACGTGATGGAACCCTCGCCCGGGTCGTAGAGACGGCTGATCAGGGAGGCAATAGTTGACTTGCCGCTGCCGGAAAGACCAACAATGGCGGTGTATTTGCCGGTAGGGAACGTCAGGTTGACGTTGCGAAGAACTGGTTGCGTGGGTCTCGAAGGGTAAGAGAAGCTGACATTGTTGAAGGAGATGCCAGTCGAGCCGGGATTCTCGGCAGGCAGAATCTTTCCAGCGTCCGACGTGGCATCGAGCGTCGAAGGGGCCTCGATGTCGTTCTGAAGACGGAGGAACGCAGCCGAAGCACCCCCGAAGAGGGGCAGAATAGGAGCAATACCGCCGAGCATGACGCAAGCTAAGAAGGATATCAGAAAGCTCCACAGATTCGCACCGCACAGGAGGGCTTACCGTCAACGAGCAGGAGAACCACAGTGTAAATATCACCCATCGAGGTGCCGTTGGGGTTTGTTCTGGCCTCGGCGATCATCTTGCTGCCCTGCCAGAAGGCCAACGCGTTGCCGGCATAAGCAATAAAGTACAAAAGACCAGCCTGAATGGCAGCCACGACGGCCTTCTTGATGCCGGCGGTCCGAGCCTCAACCATCAGGTCGGCGAAGCGAGCTTCCAGTCGAGGGCCGGCTCCAAAGGCGTGGACGACTGAGATATTCCGCAGGCACTCGCCAGCCAGAGACGATGCTGTACCGATGGCCGTGGACATGCGTGCCGTATACTTGCCAAAGTAGGCACCGCCAATCAACGACATGAGCATGAAGGCCGGGATCATGGCTGTCAGCATACCGGCAAGCTTCGCCTGCTTGATGTAGGCAATGATGAAAGCGGTGACGAAGAAGCTGATGCTTGAGATGAAAATGCCAACCTTCTCCGAGGTGCCCGCCTGGACGGCCGTGATGTCGCCGTGGAGACGACTAGAGACCTCGCCGGCGTTGGCCCGCTCGTCGAAAAAGGAAGGCGCGCTGGCGCATCAGGGCCGCAAGGTAGCGAACGCGAAGTCGCTGAGCAAGGCGCTGGCTGATAACGCCCCAGGCAAGGATGTAGATGTAGATGAGGCAGAAGGCTGCAATAGCAATGATGGCCATGAGGAGAACCTTTTCGTTGATCTCGGACGCATAGGCGAAGGGGTCGGCGGTCTGCGCTTCGGCGGCGCAAGTAGCGTCGTTGAGATCATCGACGAGCTGACCAAAGAGAATCGCCATCAAGGGGAAGGGAGTTCCGGCAGCGGCGGCACAGATGGAACCACCAATGATGAGAGTAATGTCGAGCCATGTCGGGTCGGCGGCGAAGAGGCAGCGGAAGTAGATGGTAAGGGAGTGAAAAGCCTAACGACAATGATCAGATCATGGCGACAATGGCTTTGGCCATCGCTGGGGGTGAGACAATGAAGCGTCGTTGGCATGAGAGGTGGGCTGACGTACAGACTCGCTGGCAGGCTGCTCGATATCCTTTGACTTGACGCTTGTCGCGTTGCTTTTGTCTGTCGGCTCAGCAGGCTGTTGAGGAAGCATCTCGCGATCTTGTTGGCCCGCCACCAAAGGCGGCACGGGAGCCTCGAGAGGCTTCTCTGTGACAACCATTGTTTTGTTGTCAAAATCCTTCTCCGGATTGTCGCTCGCAGGAAGGAAATCAATTCATCGAATGCTGTGTGATGGTGCTGACCGCGTCTGTCGAATGCAGGTCGAAGCTGTCCCTGGGAACGATGATGAGGGGATGGCGTCGCGGGGCGAGGCACGAGAAAGATTGATTGAAATCCCGTGAGAAAATAACGTCAGAGACAGAAGCGCGAAGAGAAGCGAGGCAAGTGTAGCCGATCGTAGAAGGGCCAGACGAGCTTATAAGGGAGCTACATGCGTTTGCCGATCGACAGAAGGGACAGCAGGGCTTGGAGGGGCCGTTGGCACACATGTGGCCTGAGAATGGCTGCATAATGCCCGTGAGCGACCATCCGATGCCGGGGCCGAAGGAGGCGTGCGTGCCAGGCTTGCCAGGTAAAGGCACACTGGCGGCCTAGGGAATGAGGGAGGTCCCAGGGCAAGAAAAGGCGAGGATCTGATAAAATTTTCAACATCATCTCGGCAGCGAAGCTCATCCCTGTGTGTGGCCGATGATCCCAGTCTGATCCCCCACCTAATAACGCAGTGTTAAGCCCCTTTTGGCCGAAATAGCATCTGATAAGATCATCAGCGCATCTGATTAGATGCTCTGGTGTGGCTCTGAGCCCATCGGAGCCTCGGCGCTAAGGTCGGAGCGGGGGCAGGACGGCCATCTCTTCCCTTTACAGTCTTAGTGGCCCTCCTAGCCAAATGGCGTAGCTTGTGGGACGTGGCAATGAAACCCCTCTTTGCGAATTGTAGCGATCTGGTCGTGAGCCGATGGCCCCATCACGTGTTTGCTGTGTAAGGTCTCATACGACTGTCGTGGTGCTAATGTTGACTCCAACTGAAGTTTGTAGCTGCTGCTTTCCTATGAGTCTGTGGGGTTGCTACAGTAATTTGTGTTGAAAATTGCGCTTCGCGCCGAGGAACACACATGCTCACTACCATACCCAGGGCGTAATTCGGCTGGCGGTCTTGCTCAAATACCTTTCCGTGAAGGCCAAAAGCAGAAGGGTGGAGATTCAGTGTCTATGAAAAGCTCGGAAACTGGATGAACATTGGAGGGAAACCTGTTCCTTGATATGTCGGTGTCAAGAAAATGCTGGGTGATTCGATCTAGTACATCCGTTTCGTGGACGAGCTCCATGTGAAACTTGGCATTCTTGAGTCTGGAAATTCGATCTGATCGATAATCACGGAGATGTAGATTGATATGATCAGGAGATGAGTAACGGTCAGAATCATGTCATGTCGTTGAGTCTCTCTAGCGTTGCAAGCTTCTCGCCAGCAAGAGCAGTTCTTTAGTCATGCTGCCTACGTGGTACAGCGCATACGAATTCGAGCAGCGCCTTCGAAGCGCTTCAATTCAGGCGGTTAGCAATGGGGAGGCCACGCCAAGATATGCCTCTGAGGATCTTACGCCCATCTTTGTGGAAGTTGTTTTGAGACAGAGCGCGGCAGGGTCTTGGCCAAGGCGGTGGGCCTCGTTCAAGGATGGAATACCCGCCAATCCTCTCGACCCATTGCTGCAAGGAAGTTCCTGGGACTGCTGGAGTAGATACTGTGGAATCTCATATCGTGATTCTCAATAATATGAACAGGAACGGCGTAAAAGGTGAATTCATGTGTGTATTTTCCACTGAAATTCATGATCACATGATCAGTTGACAATCCAAGTCAAAAGAAGTTGTGCTGGGGCCAGATCAAGGACGAGAACTCTGAGATGCAATTATGGTTGCATACTGAATCAATATGTATTCACCAATACCCGTCCACGCGAGAACACAAAGAAAAGGCAGTGACTCGGGCTGCGTCTCTGCTGATGTAGGGACAATCTTTATGATTTCGATCAAACATTTCACTTCATCTTTACCGTATCTTACATGGAATGTCCACAGTCAGCTTCTATCGGACACGAGTAGCCCTCGGGATGTAATTGGGTTGATGGGCAACCCGAACAAGCTCGCCCCTTGGGATGCTGAACAAAGGTCCTTCTGGACGACCTATCATGGGACGACCTTGTGGCGGCCCAACAGTCTGCGTCGAGGATAGATTCAGTAGTCCTACAGCCCGGCGTTGCTGGTATGTCATTGGCTGTCCTGTCGTTTGGAGAGATACATCCCCGGGGTCTTGGCGAACCGTCAGTACATCCCGACAGTGAGAAGTTTTTGGGATGGCCCTCCGTGAGTACGAACCTTCAAGTCTTGTAAGCAAGTTTATGATGGAAGCAGAGGGAATACGCCTGGACTGGTCGCTTTCGTAGTGGATAAAGGGTATACCAGTCTGACACTACGATCAGCCTCAACTTCACTGCGTATTTCTCGTTGGTCCACTCACCTGGCCATCATCATCTTCGATATCCCGGTAAAATTCAATGGCGCCGCCCCATAGCTGGCTTTCGAGCCAGCGCCCAGATTCACCTCTTACCTCGCCAGCGTCCCCAGGAACCGATCCATAGTTCGCAAACGAGACTTCAGGTGGTGTGTAGGCTGCGTCTTCTAAGTTTCCTTGCGCGAGGTATGCAACAAATAGATGGGTAAGCTCATGCGCCATTGCAAGGGAGAACATGAAAAGATGCGAGCGATGTCTAGCTGACATCTTTTTGGCATGAGGTGAGCTACCTCCGCCCTGTGCAGCCGCCGCGGCCATTGAAAGGACCATCTAACGATATTGCACGTCAGTGAACTTGTCTCGCTCTCTAATATGGATGCTTTCCTCTGAAGAAGACACCACAGGCCAAAATACCAGGGGTTGCTCGTCATATTGACATTCAACTTACATTGCGGTTGAAGTATAATGCCCCCAGTCCCTTAGGACGAAGCTGATTCAAGTCCCCGTTCCAGAACACACCTCCTGGAAGTCGCCTTGTTTCTGCAATCGCAGCTCTGCTCGGCATTGGCTCCACAAATATTCGAGGGAAATCGGCCGCAATATCGCGGAGAAAGATTGCCACATAGGCCCCCATCTGTCTAGGATCGCCTTGGAATATGAACGGGACTGGGCTCCTTGCCCAATTCCGCACGACAGACTCGCCTAGCGCACGAAGGGTTCGGAAGCCATTGGGCTTGTTGAGGATGATTAACCCTGATTTGCAGCGAATGCGAGCTACAATGCGTTCATATTTTAGTCAACACAAGACCAGAATCCTACGCCTAAGGGGAATTGACTTACACCGGCGAATTCCAAAGAGTTCTCTTGAACAGGTCGATGAGTGCCGTCGGGGAGGGACTCTGTCATTCCGACCCTGCCAATGCTGTATGCGGGAAAGTCTCGTGGCATAGACATTATGATGGTGAGTCGAAGCTTGAATTGCTCAAAAAGGGTATTCGGATGTACTTGGTGGGTGCTCGATACTGGGACAAATATTTTGGGAGAGATATGGGCAGATGGGCTTAGACACTGTTATGCCCAAAAATATGAGACACAATCCGGACATTTTATAGGATCGATCTTGAGAAATGGCTGTCGCTTGGAGGACTTCTGAAAAGTACGCCCCTGAGGCCGTCAAATCATGCCGCCTTGTCCACGACAACATGTGAGCGTGTCATTGGAACAGTGAGCGCTGGCGATGCGCCGTGGTCACTCCTGGGCGACCGGTGTTGGCCCGAAGTCCTAACCCTGAAGGTTAATTAACCCCATTGTTTCCAATTGGGTGCTTGCCGGACCACCTTTTACCGCCCTCAGGCCAAGGTCAACATCAACTTCAGGGCGGCAAAGCAGATGTAGCCCATCTCCAAACGGCTGGCGGCTAATCAGTCCCCCACGCCTTTTCCGAGACAAGGCGGCCAACGACTACATGATTATTCACATTTCTAATGGCATTCCTGACAAGTACCCTACTACCCTGTTGCGAAACGGGTAGCGCGTCACCTTGCCGACCACCGATTTGGAGCAAAACAGGCGAATCCCCGTGGTTTCATCAACGAAATCAGGCTGTCCGACTCAATGCTGTTTGATGCCGTCCATGAAAGTATGGGGAGAAAAAGTCGAATGCGAAATACTGTGCCCTTGTGCCACTGTGAAGGCTGTGTCCGTACATGCATGGCTGCCACGATGTTGACTAGGCGATCAAGGAAATAGTCTCTTGAAGTCGAGATTAATTCTCTCCAGCACCAAGGACACAAGAATTTAGATGAAATGGTTCCTGAGACATTTGATCACAATACTGTGCTAGGACGATTCGTTAAGTGCTCCGCCTATGTTACTTAAATTCTTTTCCTCAATAAGCCTCAGTGGCGCGGGCTGTGGGACAAGGTCGAGCTTGAAATGCTTCATTCGCCCTCGAATCGCGGTCGTGACTGCTCCTCGGCCCAACGACTATACCCGGGCCACAGTGGAGATGACGGCGTGATCATCTTGATTGACGTGTTAAGCCTATCAATCATGGCTTGGTCGACATGCGTTCCTTGTTGACGTTCGTACTCACAAACATCTAAAAGCATCTGATCCCCAAGCTCCGGCCAGTCGCCAGTCCTTCGGGCAGGCTGCAGGTGAATGGGTTTGTACTTCGCAACCTTGCGTTCGTACTTATCGCGGAAAACATGAAAGCACGCGATGGCATCCCATGGGTCCCATCGCCAGCGATTCTCAGAGGTCGCCCTGATCGGCAACGGACATTGCGCAGTAGACTCGATCTGAGCAGAGGATTCATAGGAACCATCGCTGAGTTCACCATCCTCGTCCAGAAGAAAGTGAATGAGCTCACCAAACTGCTTGGAAGTCAAGGCGAACAGTGTTCGAGGTGACCCGGGAAAGCAGGCGTGCATGTAAATTTCCCGACACTGTTGAAAGGTCAGAAATCACGTCTAGCAACATGAAATGGCTCTGGCGTGCATACTTCGATTTCTGTCTCTCCTCTGTCGAAGACGAATACTCCTCCGAAAATCCGGGCCTCAGCCCAGTATGCTGCTACGTCTGCCAGACCGTGAGGGTACTGCTCGAAAGCGTTGTACGGCCCGTGGGTGAAGACGATGGGCGGTCGGTGACTACCCCAAGGGTCGTCATCCCCGGGCCTGTCTCGCCATCTCTCATGCTCTGTATGATGATGGTTTCTTCCACCAATATCGTAAAGGTACACAGCAATCCGATGACAGGACACAGCGAGAAGCTCTAAAAGACGCAAATAAAACTGCTTGGAGCCCGATGCAGCGTCTTGGAAGGCTAGCAGAGTCTTGTGCGGCTTCGTCAGTGCCCATGCCTCAGTGGATTAGAGGGATTGGAGGGGGGATGGTCGAACAAACCGTGAGGGAGAACTGAAGTGAAGAGATCTTGAAATTCGCCCTAAAGTCGCGAGCTTTCTCAAGAGAGCCTGAACAGAGCTCGATATGATTCACAGACGGGTGCGTTTTCCAAGCATAACAGAATTCACGATAAGTAGCCGCCAGTGGCATGCCATCCAGGATCTCAGCGTAGGCGACCTCGACATGATTGGTGAGAAGTACACGCGTCAGCGCTCGCTCCAAGGCCTGGCGGTGAGAAGCATCAAGAATGTTGACAGTCGCCAGGTCTGTGGGTGACCTCGAATCTGTTGTCATGGCTGCTTGTAAGTGAGAAATAGGCAGTGGTTCACATGAGGAGAAAGTTGATGTAAATGTCGGCTGCCAGGCGGGCATTGAATAAAGCTGGTCAATAGCACGTGACGATGCACGTGTCGCTCCGACGGTTCCCTTGCCTAAGGCCAGCCAACCCTACCTAAGGTACCAACCACAGCAGAGAAGGAGAGAGGGCGCCTGGAACAAGGGCGCTTAAAATGCGACCACACGATGCAGCGCCAGTGACTGGGGAAGACTGGCGGTTAATCTCCTCGTTCACGAAAGCACCTGACCTTGATTCACCATCTTCATTTTGTGAGTACCATACCTACCAAGTGGCCAACAAAAGACGAAAGTCCCCCCGAATGAGAAAGCACCCCAATTTACCAGTAGATCAACGGGGACCCATACCTTATTGCTCACGTAGTAAGCCTACTAGAGAGCCCTTGGATGGGCCATTTTTTCTGTCGAGTGCTTTCTAGCCGGCTGTTGCCTTACCTAGTACCTACCTACCTAGGCAGGCTAGGTACCTAGGTAGGTATCTTCCCTTACCTAAGATACCCCACCACGCCAGCCGAGGATCAAAATGACTTGGCACAGAAACTGATGATTCTATCCTACCTATGTACACAGCATGCATTTACTGCGTGTTTTAGCCCAAGACTTTATGAAGTGTTTCGCCATATCTTACCCAGGTAGCTAACTTGATGGCTAGTAACTGCCAAACAGTGCGAGTTATATCATTTTTACCCACCTTGACCCAGGCTTAACAGCACAACAGTAAAGCGTTGAGCAAAGCCATTGTCTGCAGGACAACGCTTTGCTAGGCAAAATGGCCCTACCGTGAGAATAGCTCTGGCAACCGCGCCCTCTTTCAAGGCTTCATCTCTCAACATGTGTTTACGCTTGCATCAGCGAATCTACAAACTGCTCAACCAGGTTGAAAGTCCTCCTAGTTGGGGCGGATGTTAGCCAATTCAGCCATTGAGTCACCCTAAACGCCTTGTAACTGTTGCTACTGCAGGATGCAGCAGACTGGTAGCACGTCAACCACGGGAAGTGCACGATATTGCAATCCGTGCCTTCCGATAATATGCGCTCCAACGTTTTATCCCGCTCTGGGCTGACAACTTGATGGTTAAATGGAATGCTGGTCCAATAAGCAGTGTCGCGCAAATATTGGCACTCCTAAATCAGTACCGTCTACTCATCTCGCAAGTCAAGAAGCGCTCCGTGAAGAGCCTCAAGTCCACGGTCTTCATTTTAGCACCCGATCGACAAAGATCCCAATTTTAGATCTTATGACAGGCTTGGCCAACTGCATCTCACCTGACGTATCTGTAGGTGTGCTGGTGAAATCATTCGTATTGTGACACACAGGGGTCGTTCCTGCTGAATGGCCGGTCTTGTGGGATCGAAGCATGTTACTCCTATGACACCACCGCAGCGATACGAGAAATCGCCGCATTCATACACCGGCTGGAGTACACTGGCCGATTCGGTCATGATCATGGGAGTTGTTTGTCCAGTCCTAAGGCTGTGGCCGATACGAGATGCAGCCACTTGTAAGAGTTGATCCAAGACCCTTGCGCCAGCCAAGCAAGGGGATCGACACGACCCCGTATTCTCTCCCCGCATTCTGCCTTTGAGCAGGCTGGTATCCGTTTGGCCCAATCATGTCACCGCCGCCTGATCGCATGGCCTTCTGGAACGGTCGGCATCGTGTTCAGCTTCGCTTACCTACTTTCAGCAAATGGCGTCGGGCTGGTCCGCCGTGCTTATCTCTTTCTCCTCAGTTCGACATCATAATGACCTTCCGTCTTCGTGATTTTGCATGTCCGTTTGCGAAGATGGGCCTAGTGCTAGCCCTGCAGACTCAGGCCCGGAATTTGCATCGTTTCCGAGGGTCGGCCAACAATTAGAATACGCGCGAAGCTCGGTTGGCAGCCGACTACTGGTTGTTCGATCCTCCGCCAGAGTACCACACGACTATTCGGGGTTTGCTTGACGCCTCCGTATGACGACATCTGACATTTTACTTAGGCAGTCATTTACACGAGATATACGACGTTGTAGTCAATTCCGCACCAGCGTCACATTGGGAAATACGTTCGTCACAGAGAAGTATAAGTAGCTGGTGGATAACGCAGTCGAAAGATACGCAACACATCATTCGAAACACATCGGCCCCAGTATCGCATCTTGCCTCAGATTTAAATATTCGATCAACATCCTCAATCGGCACGTCAAACCGCCAACATGCAGATCAAAGCCAGCATCATCGCCGCTCTAGCCCTCACCACCCCTCTCGTTTCTGCTGTTGGCAAGGCCCGCGTGGTGAACAACTGCGACTACGAAGTCAGCGTCTGGTCCGTCGGCAGCGCTATCGCCGGTCCTTATCGCTTGGCCCCTAAGTCTGGGTCTTACGCCGAGACTTTCGTCAAAGACCCTAAGACTGGCGGCAAGGCCATCAAGATCACAACCGCTCGCGACGGCCTCTACACTGGCGCTCCGCAGCTCAACTTCGCCTACTCCCTTGACGGTGTCAAGATCTGGTATGATCTTAGCAGTGTCTTTGGTGACGCCTTCAAGGGCAAGAAGCTCGTCGAGAGAAGCGCCGACTCGACCTGCCCCGCGATCACCTGGGACAACGGCACTCCTCCAGCTGGCAGTCAGGTCAAGACCTGTACGTCTGCCAAGGATGTCACCCTAACTCTCTGTGCGTGAGCCAGGCTCGAGGACGGATAGGTACATGAGGACAAATGTTCTATATTCATGGATATACTCTTTCTCGCGATAATGATTAGTCTATGTTTTTTTTACCTTGTATTCGTCGCAAAGAGTGCATAGTGCCTGACGATACCACCACGCCTCAGAGTCACAACATGAGCTTCCACTTACAGCAATCCTCACTCTTTCTGCCAGTGTTCTCTTTGTAAGCTGCTAGGTAGTTACAGCCTGCTCAGAAGCCGCAGCGCCAGGAAGCCCGGCGGTGAAGGCGCCGGACCAACTGCCGACCAAGAATCTGCCAGACCCAAGAGGGCCAGTCTCTCGCAGCTTGGCTGCCCGCGAGGGACAGTAACCTCTAGCAAGCGGGGGTTGTGGGACATAGCCCACCACCGACTAAGAGCAAGATGGGGACCAGGGGGAGCCCGCCTCGTGGAAAGACTACTGGCACCCTAGGGGACGGTTGAAACATCGGATATTCAGGGCCGACGCGCGTCTAGTTGGTGAATTCGTCGCTACGTTTGACGCCCTGGTTCAAAAGAAAAGCAAAGAACGAATAGTGAGATTATGCAAATATCGCTGTTAGCTAGCGCGTTGCAGCGGCAGGCGGAAACCGGAAATTCCTTGGCGGTGCAGTGTCACCTGAATGATTTGACGATTCCACGCCGAAGGACTGCGCTGCAGGCTCGGAGATTCGCTGCAGTTGCAGCTGCATTCCATGATGGGAATGTCCCACTGATTGGGCTTTGGGGTCGAACGACCGTATATCGGAGATGCTAGGATGCCATTGGCCATACCGGGCGCTGCTACTTTCGAGATTGTACCAGTCGTTATTGTCGCCGTGCTGTACGAGGCAGAGAAGCCTATTGAGGATGATGAATTCCATCTTGAGCTTGATGCTGTACACGACAGGTTTGTAGGTTGTCTGAATCTGGAAGTTGCCTGTGTACTGGGTCACCAGCAGACTGATATCGAGGACAATGACGAAAACGTTGACGATGACGAGGTTCCTAATAATCTGGCGCTCCCTTGGTAGTTTGATGGCGAGGATTGGCCTGAGGGAGCGAAGACTTTCGAGAATGTAGAATCCTGATATGAGGCACTCCTGGATGCAGAACCCCGCGAGCTGGACGCGCTCATAGACGTCAAAAGCCCGAATAAATGTTGCGGTGTGCTGAGTATTGCTGCCGAGGAAGAGAACGGTGACAGGGACGTGGAAGATGCAGAAGCTCGTGACGATCATGACGAGGATCCACCGAGTCTTGGTCTTATCCGGTTCGACAAGGTGAATGCGCGAGTAGAGGACAACAGAGAAGCCTGTCACCATGCCGTACCATCCGACGCATGTCAGGACTGCCAGGATGAAATTAGGCCCCAAAGCGTAATAGCGAAGTAGTACGACGATCGTGTGGAGGAGGATCCCAAGGGTCGTAACCAGCATGCTCCAAAAGTATAAACTGTTTGGCCTCTTGAATCGGTCGAGGAGGGTGATCAAGATCTCGAAACAGTTGAAGCAGGCAATAGCGAAAAAGCCGGCTATGATCATATTAATCGGTAGCGAACTTGAGATCGGACCCGTCTCCCCAGCCATGCTTTCGATATCGCCAAGCCCAACATCCGGTGTGAAGGCGAGCTGCAGACGAGAAGTGAAAGGTTTCTTTGGATGAAGTGAGATTCGCGGACAATGCTTCTCGGTCGAAGGCCATACTGGCAAGATTGGAAGGTTACGTCGGGGTCGACTCGGGGGTGGAAGGCTTCTACATAGCCTGAATCACACAAGTCACCATAATCGCAGATGGTCTGGTCTGGCTTTCAGAGTCTGGACCATGACGAGTCAGGGGGCCTCTGCGCTGCACAGGGACTGGCACAGGCAGAAGTTGTTCGTTGCCGCCGGCTCTTCAGCTGTCACTGTGGCGTTCGTGGTCCCGACCGGCAGCGCATCCTGTTCGTCGCTGGCAAGAGATCCTCGACTGATGAGAGCCATCACAGATCCGCCACAAATTTAGAGTTTGGGCTCGAGCTTAGGTATTCCGGAGACTCCGTGATCCCGGCAGACGAAGGTCAACCCTACCGAAGCTGGCAAGAAAAACGGCTGAGGATGCCAATAAGCAGCTGCCACTGCCGGGCATGTAGTCGAACAACACACGAGCAAACGAGGCCTACGGCACACTTGATTGCGTGGTACTGTCCTGAGGCTTTTACGAGATAGACAAGAGGGCTTTCAGCGCTCGTCCCTCCAATTATTCCCTGGGGAATAGCCCCTGCATCTGTCTTGTGTCCTAGAGCCGTTGTGGTGTGTACTGGATAGTTTGGTACATCTCCACAGGCCCCCCTGCTCCACTTGCGCCAGCCTGCTGCGTTACCGTAGCGGCATAGTCCACCAGGGACTCGTACACCCTTGAGCCAGATCAAGCCAGGCTGAGTATTTATTACTCATGGCGGCGCTGATACCTCGGGTTCCACGGCTCAGGGCTCATCGGGCTCCTGCCATGGACTCCTCAGTTCTATCTCCGTTCGCGATACCATCTGCTGTACAGATACAATTCAGGGGCTTCCCAGGTGCCTCCAACTCTTTTTTTCCCCAGACAGCAGAACGCTTTTGGGTCACTTTATTTGTTACATGAGTCAATTTCACGCTCGTCGTTCGTGCCAAGACTGCCACAACTGGTCGTATGACGAGAACGTGATGAACAGAGCCGCCACAGAGCAGCCAACTAAGTGTGGTGCGACCACACTCCATGATTTCTCTGGAGAACATGAAATGCCGAAAGATACGCCTCTGGGCCTAAACCATGGACCGAGGTTGACCAAACGTTCCATGGTTGCTCTACCGTCGCTTGGTCGCCAACCTGCTATAACTTTTCGTCCTGATGGACGACGGGGAAATTATCTGTTGACGATCGTCGGTGAGCTCAAGATAGCTTATAATATGTCTCTTCTTCTGCGGTGAAAGACCATAGATCGCCCATAATTCACAATACCGGCCGGAAGTGTCCATCCTTTGTCTGCCGCGGACATGATTGATCCACAATCCGGCGATCCCTCGCGAATGGTCAATAAGTGCTACTGTAAGATCTTCACGTCACATCGAAAATCGGTCCGTTCCCCTACCTACCCCTTTGACAAGGCACTTGTGCTCTTGGACCTCCACAAACTTACTGTTCCAAGGAGTGGATGAGCTTCCACATTACAGCTACCCTGTTGATAACGTCGCATATTCGCCAAGCGTGTCGTGCTGGATCTTCTCTGAATAGTAGTCCGGCCGGCTGCTCGGGAATGTGCAGACAAGTAAATCTTTAAAATAAGATGGGAGGCTCACTACCGGGAAGCTTTAAGCACCAAGCACACAAGATACAACTCTTCAGTAGGTCAATCGAAGCAGGGGTCTGCACGAAGCTGACTACACTAAAGCAGGCGTCGCATAAAGCTGTATCCACTTACAGGATTTAGCGGGTTGGGGGCGATGAACCGCTGGGCTTCAGTTGGCATGACCTGCAGTAGACCAAACGCCGTCGGGATACTATCGGCGCCCGTTGTCACCAGCCCAATTCAGGGGCGTCAGGCAGACTAGGGACCAGGGTCTTCCAGTGCGAACAGACTTACGTCGTTGATTCCCATGACACCGGATCTCCGTGCGTCCATCCTCATCTACCAGCTCGATGGTGTCGCCTTAGTCGATGAACTCGAGGACATCCACCTTCGTACCACGAGACAGACATGCGGGTCTGGAGTGGCGTACCGGGGGTGGATCGTGGTATTGATGAAAAAGGGACAAGGGGGAGGCCGGAGATATATACCATGACCTGCCTTGTCAACCATCTTGCGAAACTATTTGCTGGACCAGCTTTTGGGGCTCACACGCCTTCATAACTTGATTACGAAAGTCCCGACTGCTCAGCATCAGTTCTTGTCCGCCAGCCCCCATGTACACACGCTCGGAAGACAGAGCCGGAGGTGTTGAGAAGATGAGCAACCACTCCGTGGATGACGAGTCTCGTTTCACAGAGATCTGCACGATCTTGTCGGTTTTCTGTGCGTTGTCGACCATCGCTGTCACGCTTCGTTCTTATACGCGACTGGTCCTGCTTCACACCTTTGGCTGGGATGATGGAGTTATGGTGGGTGCCCAGATCCTGGCCATCGCCGCCGCTGTGACTATTGGTCTAGGTAAGACCCCGCCTGATTCCTAGAGATGCAAGCCAGGCTAATTGGGGTTCGCAGAGAGCAAATGGGGTCTCGGATCACACACTTGGGTTCAGCCTGAAGCACATCTTTTCCCATACATGAAGGTATGGCGAGACTCGGGGCATGACTTCCATCCAAACCCTCGTCATCCATATGCTAAGTCACAGCGATAGGCCTTTTACAGCTCCATCATAGTGTACAACATGTCCATGTGTCTCGTCAAAATTTCTATCCTACTCCAATACCGGCGAATTTTTGCTCTCCGGATGATGCAACGCATTACCTTCTACGCTGTCGCGTTTATGGTTGCTTGGTCAATCACAATCTTCTTCCTCCTGACACTCGTCTGCATCCCAGTCGCCAAGTTCTGGGACCACGCTTTGCCGGGTAGATGCCTGGACTCGTTGACCATTTGGTATGTCATGGCCGCTTTCAACCTGGTCTCCGATTTCGCCATTTTCGGCCTGCCGTTGCCGGTAGTTCGGTCCCTTCAGTTACCCAAGAAGCAAAAGGTGATGCTCTTCGCGGTCTTTGGCCTCGGGTTCTTGTAAGTGTCTCTGCATCTTGACAGATACTTTCCTCGTCGAGCCGGTTTTGACGTACCATTGTGACAGCACCTGCATCATTTCCATTATTCGCATCCGCACTCTCAAGATCGCGGCTTCGACAGATGACCCTAACTGGGACAATGTGGATGCGGCAACCTGGTCATATCTTGAAGTCACAACTGCCATCCTCGCGGCTTGTTTGCCGACGCTAAGACCAGTCTTCGCCAAGATGATGCCCAGTCTGATGGGCTCCTCCATAAGAGGAAACCAAGGTCGATCTCAGTGCGGTGCATACATTCATGCTCCAGACGGCAGCACGAACACGATTCCGAACAAGACAAAAGTGACATCCGTCACTGTCCCTGCGTCAGACAGCACTTGGTCTCTCTAAAGGCCAAGATAGGATCGAGCTGGTCACGCATGACGCTGGAAGGTGTCCGTGTCCGGTGTTTACAAAGTCACTGTCACGGTGGGGGTGAAGAGCCATCACACCCCTACTGGGCAGCGCTGAATCGTTCGTCTAAGGAAGGCGAGAAGTCGACCGGCGGGCAAGGGAGGCATTCAAGCAACTACTCTAGTCACACAACAGGTCACGGTCGAGTCAAAGCATGGGTCAGGAGAGCGGAGCCCGACAAGTGAAGAGGGCTCGAATGTGCACAGATCACTTCAATCGTAACGCGGTCGATAGTTGAGCTGGCCACCCATCCATCACAACGCAATTAACCTCCGATTCATTCATATGACTGAGGTACTTTGTGAACTTATGGGGTCTTTTAATATTTATTGGCAGACGCCTTCACTGAGCTAAATTTCTCTGGCTTAAATGCGCTTGTATGCATTCAACCAGTCGTTTTATCCACAGTCAGGGCTAGCCATGTGCACGGCGCTCGGGGGTTACCAATCGTCTTCCTAGCATGGGATAGCATATTTGTTCTCCATATATCTTACTATTCAGTACGAGTCCACCACTGTCAGGTAGAGTTCCCATAGTTGTGCACACGACGTGACTGCCGATCCTCGGAGTCAATAAAAGATGCCGGCGTAGACATGTCATAGGTTCCTAAGGCCTCCATAAAGAGCTTCTGGTGCATAAAAACCAACATGTGAGTCATTTTCAACGGGAACGCTAATTTCAAGGAACATAGTAGCAAGTAGAAACACGCGGTCGGCCGTTGCCCAGATTAAGCGCAACCATACCAAAAATTCTCCAAGGAGAGGAGGGGGGTCAGGGGGTGGATACAGGTTAGGAAGTGGCGTTGACGTTTTTCAAATACTCATGAACCCTCTACTGCTCCTATCAGGAGGCCCCCGCGGAACCATGGAACACGGGGTGCTTGGGGGCTGGGAACTATGAGAACGCGTACATAAGGGTTGCGAAGGGCCCTCCTAGCTGTGGAGGACCAGTGGTTAGGATGTGTTCTAACCCCATACCTGGCGTCTATTGCTTGCAGGCCTAGTGCGAAAGACCCCTTCACTCTGCTCAACCCATGCTCAGGCTTATCTCGGTCAGATCCGCGGCATATTATCGGTCCGTCGTATTCATTGTATAGAGAATATTGAAGCCGTGTCGAGCTTGAATCCGCCAACACCAGTCACCGAATTCATACATTCGAATGGGTCCCATACATCGGACTTTGTATCACACCACAAATCAAGACCAGGAATAATCAAGGCTGTAAATATCTCGGTACGTGAACAGACGATAAGAGGCTTCAAAGTTTGGTCCAGCACTAGGTACTAGAATGCACCTGCTCACTTGATACGCGAACTTTTGGATACGCGAACTTTTGGTCAACAGACGCCTTTGATTATCGCACAGCTGAGTTTCGTCTTCATTTAATGAATTCCTAGTAGTGTAGCAGCATAAAACGGTTGAGAAGTCCGGCCCGGTAGCCGTCGGCTTGTTTGGCCACAGGTGGCACAAGGTTTACTCATTTCAATACATCTAGTCTGACGTCGAATCGACTCCCTTGCGCTGCCGCTTGGTTATCAACTGATTCAGAATAATCAGGCCATGGTTGAACGGTGTAAAGACCCGAACATGTTGGCATGTTGGAAGCTAAGTGCTGTCTAGTTGACTAAGCCTCAAGAACAAAATCTAGTTCACCGCCGAAAATACTGAACGGAAGCAGCACCTCCGTACCAACGGCCCCCAACACCCCCCCTGTCCATTCCCTGAGCAATCTCCGCTGTATCGAACGTATCTATCCCATACTTGATCACTGCCACTCTGCTTCCTCTGAAACCTCCGCACTGTCATCGGGAGCACCCCGCATTGCCCCAGATGCCCTACCGGCATACATCGGGGGAATGCCCTCGCTGCTTTCAACCGGACGAATGACGGTACACATCGAACGCCCGGATGCGCTGGGCAGATGATGAGTCGCAGATGCCAGGGGCTGAGAGCATGACTGCCGATCTCCTTTAGATTAGCTCCATATCATGTCAAAACACCGCGGGGCCGACCCCCGACAGCCAACTCTGTCGGCCGAGCTGTCGATCGACGGCATTTTTCCACCTTGGCATTTGGCCTGCGCGTTTACTGGGAGGTAAGAGTCCACCAGGACTAAGATCGTCACGACAAAAGCTGCATCGGACGTGGACCGCCTCACACAAGTTCCGGCGTCCCTTTTGAACGAAGATCGACAAACTCAGCCATGGATCTTCTTCAGAACCATTGCAGCGTACTAGGAGGAAGTCGAGGCGTGAATGTGATGGGCGAAGATCTAGGATATCTGGGCGTTGCGATCGTACCTTGACCAAGAGACCTAGGCTCGCGAAGCTTTTGCCAATGTATCCTTAAGCGCCAACTCGAACGTACCAAGGCGATTTGCCGAAAAGTCCATAGATGCCTGATGACCTACTGGAAACATGTCAGGAAAGTGAGAATGAAGCTTAAACCTGTTCTCTGACTCAATCTTGCAGAGCCGCGTGACATTCGTCCGGTTGAGCGAGCCCCTAGTCCCCTTGAGCCGCTCAACCCCTCAAGCCGCCGGGTTTGCCCTTGTTGATTGTTTGGCACTCTGTAGCTCAAGTCGGGCCCAGTCTTACCAGGCGCACCTCCTTCGTCTGGCCAACGCAGCATTGGCAGGGATATGTCAGATGAAGCATTGCGTTCCGCCTATAGCTCAACATGCCATTTGCTGCTCACAATCCGGCCGATGCTGCTCTTTCCCACTTCTGTCCCGTGTCTTCGGAGGAGATCATGATGTTAGCGGCGGCCTTCGGACAAGGGAGCCGTAACATGGTACGCATGACTTTGTTCTGCGGGTACACAAATTGCATCACACGTACACGTAGAAGGACCTGAAGACGTGCCCCAGGATATTCGACAAGAGGCAGGCGACCAGCCGATCTGTCTCAGTTGCTCCACAAGATCGATATCAGTATCTACTTTCTAGAATACCACGGTTATTACTGTCGATCTTTGACGGCGAACCGGACAGTCTTTCCACAACTTCGGACGGCTTCTGTCCGTATTATGATGGAGACAATCATGATCAGAATAGCCGACAAGAGTGATAAAAGAAAGTGAAGGCCCGGTTTGAAACAGCTTTTCTTCACTCCTCAATCAGTCCAACAATCCCCTTCTCCAGTCCCTTCCCATCTCAGACCGAGAATACATTTTCACCATGAAGCAAGTCATTGTCACGAGTCTTTCCTTGCTGGCGACGGCCATGGCGCAGCAGGTCGGCACAGAGACCCCTGAGACACATCCTCCCCTGACCTGGAAGGACTGCTCATCCGGCACATGCAGCGATGTTCAGGGCTCCGTCGTCGTTGACGCCAACTGGCGTTGGGTCCACGAAGTTGGCGGCTACGAGAACTGCTACGACGGCAACGACTGGACCGGTCTCTGCACTGGCGCCGACGACTGCGCGAAGAACTGCGCGGTCGAGGGTGAGAACTATGCGACGACATATGGCATCACAACAAGTGGCAACGCCTTGCGCCTTAACTTTGTGACTGAGCATCAGTACGGCACAAACGTCGGGTCTAGGACCTACCTACTTCAGGATGATGAAACGTACCAGATGTTCACACTGCTGAACAACGAGTTCTCGTTCACCGTTGACCTGTCGACGGTCGAGTGTGGCATCAATAGCGCGCTCTACTTTGTGCCCATGAAGCCTGATGGCGGCAAGAGCGACGAGCCGAACAACGCTGCAGGCGCCAAGTACGGTGTCGGTTACTGCGACTCCCAGTGCGCGCGGGACCTGAAGTTTGTCAACGGCAAGGTGAGTGATATCAAGCAACGTTTCCGTGCTATACTCTTCACCTCAGCGGCTGATACGCTCGCTTTAGGGAAACATTGAGGGCTGGACCCCTTCTGCAACCGATCCCGCCTCTGGTGTTGGCAATCTTGGTGCTTGCTGCGCTGAGATTGATGTCTGGTGAGTGACTTTGCCCTCATGTGCATGCCATGTCAGATGGTTGACCAGTTTCAGGGAGTCGAACGCCTGGTCGTACGCCTTGACGCCCCATGGTTGCGAGGACAACAACTACCACGTCTGCGGCGATGGTGCCATTGAGTGCGGCGGCACGTACTCGGAAGATCGCTTCGCTGGCAAGTGTGATGCCAATGGCTGCGACTACAACCCTTACCGTCTCGGCAACCCCGAGTTCTACGGCAAGAACAAGGTCGTCAACACCAATGAGCCCTTCACGTAAGTATCCCCCAACAAGCCCCCCCTGATTGCCCAGGCGACTCACCAGACCACTGCAGCGTTGTGACTCGATTCTCTCCCAATGAGCTGTCGACGACATTCATCCAGAACGATGAAGTCATTGTGGTCCCGGTGCCCAACTCGGAGGGCGTCCCCAGCGACAGCAACACGGTCAACCCGGAGTACTGTACAGCCTACAACATTGCGTGGGACGAGCGTGACAGGCAGGCCGAGATTGGCGGCTTCGGCGCCCTCAACAGCGCCCTCGCCCTGCCCATGGTTGTCGTTCTGTCCATCTGGGCCGATGTAAGTACACCCTTCAGAGCTCGACAGAGCGGGGGGAAAACACAATGTTGTCTCCAGCACAGATTGACTGACATGATGTCGTAGCACTACGCCAACATGCTTTGGCTCGACTCGATCTACCCGCCCGAGGACCCCACCAAGCCCGGCGCGGCCCGCGGCGCGTGCCCCACGGACTCTGGTGTCCCCTCGGCCGTCATTGCGCAGAACCCGAGCGCGCACGTCGTCTGGTCCGACATTCGCTACGGCCCTATCGGCTCGACCTACGACATTCCTGCTTAAGTCGACCAGGCCATTCGTACTGTTTGGTGTGGACAGAGAGAATGATGCATCGGACACAGGCTGGTTCTCAACTGGAGGACACATGGACTGTGGCACTCGCTTCCAACAAAATACATTCGGTATCATAGGGTTTCCCCGTTTTTCTACCTGCCTCTGCCCTCCTTTTTTTTTCTCTTTCTTTCTGATCCCGAGAGGATTGGAATGTTGTCATGTTATTTCTCCTTGGGGGCGAGGATTGCATTGTACATAGTTGGACATGGATGATTGGGACGCCAATTCACGAGTCTTACCTGATGAACCTCGTCTTTGCTCGTAGCTGGCTGTCATGTTTGAAGGGCTGTGAATCTGCTCTTCACTTGGTGGAGTAAACACACCTGTGAACTGTTTGACAGCTCTTGTGGGCCTGTGGCCACCTTTCTACACGGCGAAAAAAGGCAGAGAGTCCTTGATAGCCTCCAAATAAGGCTGTTGATACCAGTTAATGAGAGAGGCATTGTCATTCCCTCCCCTGACGTTACGCCGATGTGACAACAGAGGCTGGAGAGAGAATGACATGCGCCACGATGGTATCAGCGCCACATGGCATGACAATCAGAAAAGGGCCCATTGGGTAAATTGGTGATTTCGTTTGACTACAAGGATGCACGTGATTTCCACCATGACAACTAACTGCCGCATCTGCCCCAGAAGCGTACTCGCCCCACATGCCCCTTTCCAGGACAGCGGCTCCTCCAATGAGATGGATGATGGCGTAGATTGACCCCAATCTCCCAGTTCTCTCTCGGCCTCTCCACCAGTAGATGCTTCCTGCCCCATGAAGCCTTCCGGGATGGGGATGACCACCTGGCACCTGCACTTCGCACTTGCCACTTGCTTGGCTCGGCCTGGTCCAGAATCTGCATGGCTCCTTCCTCTTCCTGGCATGGCACCTGGTCCGCGGTCGCGCTTGCCACACCACGCGCCGCGTCGTTCCTTCTCCGTCCTGTGCGTGGCCTCCATCCCTTTTGTGCACAGCTCACGAGCAGTGCACCAGAGCAGACGTCGAAATTAGATTATCCTCCTACCACCCAACTCCATCCATCCCATCCCGTACGCATTCCAACGACCAATTCGTCCCATCCTTCACCCCATCATCCATCTTGTCCAGCAGCGTCACACTCCTTACGTCTGGCTCTTTCCTTTCTTACACTCCTTTTCTCCTTTTGTGCCTTGGTCTGTCCTTGCTTTGTCGCTGCGCTCGTTGTCCGTCAATCCGTCGTCCCTCGCACACCTCACCACGGCACAGCACCATGCACCAGGTCTTGGGCCTGCATCATGGTCGCACGGTCGTCGCCTCCATCGGCGCCTTGGTCTTCATCCTTTTCGTGCTTGGCTTAGCCCACTATCAAAGCTTCGAGTTCCCCGCCTTGTGAGTCCGCCCACCGCCAGCGAGTTGCGAGTCGGCTCCCTACCTGCACCGCACTGCTGCACTGCACTCTCTCTGGTCGTATCGAGGGAGCCCCCTTCATCGCATCTCATCTCATCTCTACATTCCTGATCTCGTCACTAACCCCACCCGCATCAATAAGCCCCGGGCAGAACACCATCAACCCCTACGCGCTCTCCAAGCCCAAGCCAGGGGAGGAGGCTGGCGCCGACGGGCTCACCGCCAGTGATATCGTCAAGCTCCAGGCCTTCTACCTCGAGCACATTGTCAAGCCGTCCATCAAGCCCACCGATCCCGTCTACCGGCCGTCGGGCGCCTTTGAATGGAAGCTCCCCAAGCACATCGGCTGGCCGGAGCCTCTCGGCAAGGACCTCGTCATCCTCGACATGGACAGCCGCCCTCTCAACAAGACGGGCGAGATCTTTGGCAACCAGACCCTCAGCTGGGATAACACGACCGCCATCCACGGACCGTCTCTCGGCATTCTCCAGCACTGGCTCTATGGTATGCTCCGGTCCCTTTTTCATTCGGTCCTCTCCTCCGCTGTCCGTCCTCGGGCTGTCCTCATGCCGTTCTCATGCCGTTCCTATGCTGTTCTCAAGCCGTTCTCATGCCATGCTCATGCCATGCTCATGACATGCTCGTATCGTTCTCATGCCCATCCCGAGCTCGTCTCACCCTCCACTGATGCAACATCCATACTGACGCCATTACAGCCAAGATCCATGGATACAGGTACTACTACATCCAGACGGGCACTTTCCCTGATCGTCGCGACTCGTGGAAGAAACCCACCATCATCGGAAGAGTCACGTCCAAATACAAGACCTCTGTGTTTGCCGACTCGGACGCCATCTTCAACCACCTGGACCTGCCCTTTGAATGGCTGCTCAACTACTGGGACATCAAAAACGAGACGGACGCTCTGACGCTGGCGACTGACCCGAAAGCGAAGCACAACCGTGACGAGAAGGGCAAGCTGTATGCCAACACGGGCTTCATCATCACGCAAAACATCCCCGTCACCTACGACATAATGAAGGACTGGTCCGAATGCGCCGACGTCGGCGGCAAATTCCCTAACTGCACCGACTACCGCGACAAGGCCGGCGGCCATCCCTCTGACCAGGGCGGATTCGGTAACTACATCCGCTACGCGTACAACGAGAGTGTGAAGGAGCTTCCGTGCGCCGAGGCCAATGGGTTCCCCGAAGACAGGTCCGAGTGCAAGGGCACCTTCATCAAGCACTTGTGGACAGGCAAGAATACTCACCTGAAGGTCGCGATTGGCAGCATGATCCCTGGCCGTTTCCTCCAAATCTTTCACGACCAGATGTTGAGCGAGAAGGAGACCTTCTACTTGACAGAGGATCAAATCATGCAGGAGAGCTGGACTGGCTGAGAGGAAGGGCCTCGCGACGTGCGTGCAAGAGGCGCATCATGATGTGTTGGATATGAAAAATCATCTTTTTAGACTGGGTCTTGGATTGCCTATGGGTCTTTCCAGGTGTAATGATGGGAGTTTTCATGCCACTGGTGGCTTTCAGGACTTGGGATATGAATCCTCTGACACGTCACAGGAAGGCTTTGGCGAGTCACCTATTTTGTAACGAACTTGGTCTATATCCGTCTCTGTTAGCATGTTATCCATTCTTCATTTCTCGATAGCCCCTTTGGCACCCAACTTGGATTCTGACCCTCTCATTTCAAAATCGCCAACGCATTTGGTGGTGACGCTACTAGGCATGGGACGTTCAACGGCGACGACGTCAGCATGGAACTGTAACGACCCTTTTCACGACGGTACGCCGCCGGCGTGGCCAAATGTCAAAGCTCACCAATCGACATACCAAGACTAGGCTTGGGATGGTTACTGACTAAGTTCGTCAAATGAGCCAGTAGAGCCATCCCATCTCACTGGCGGCACGGCCTCAAACGCGATGTGGAATCTGTGCAACGGCGGCGAATCGCTTGTCCCAGAATCACTCTGCCGTCGCCTCGATGCCGTGCTCACACAATGACTTCATCTGCGCCAGCTTGACCATATCCTTAGGTGTGGGGTTGACGAACTGTGGTGCCAGTCATCTGCAGAAACACAACACATCTCGGGGCCGGAACTCAACGCTCTGGTGCTTAGCCACCTGCTCGAATTTCCACTGGGATGCGATAGCCACCAAACGGATGATTTCTTCGGCGTATGACTTGAAATATATCAAGCCGCCGCGTGCGACCAATCCGCCCCGCGACTGCGGTTACTTCAACGTGGGCATAGTGTGCTCAAGGGTCAACATGTGTGACATCTCTTGCCGCATCGACCGATTCCTGTTCTGTGCAGACCCGTAGCCTGATGCTGCTAATGAACCAGCGAGTCGTACCGGCTGGCGCTCTGGGTGTTGAAGGCCAGCTCGTCGTATCAGCTGATTCCACCTGAGACGCCTATATCGCGAAGGCTGGGCCCTGTGGGCGAGCTTGCGACGGCCAGGCGGGGGAATGTGCTCGAGGGCATCGAGCGGCCACTTACGGACCATCTGAATGGACCCGTCATGAGTGACAGCGATGGAGGCGGGATTAAATATACTTGAGTGAAATCGACACCCATCTTGGACTTCGGCGGCGGCGGCTTTGATTGTGGCTGTCGTAAGATGATTCAGTGTTTCAAACAGGTCTTTCTTGCCGTCCTTCTCAAAGACACCCCTGACACAGCCCCTTGGCATGCCGTCGACGGGAGGCAGGTCGTCGTAGGTCGGTACTCCACATCCAACACCCTCCGCCATACGAGTGGTGTGGGGGACAGCCATGGACGAAGGTGACTCGATGCATTCACCCAGCAGACACGGCCTCTGGAGCTCGGAAAACAAACTCACTCACTGGCTAACGCTCGCACGGGAACGAGTTCGACCACCAAACGTGTCGATCATCATGGCCCATTGGCTGAGGTGACAGAGTTGGCGACATGCTGTCGGGCTATCTGTTTCACCGACCCTTCGTTCCCGAGGGCGGCATGCATCGCTTCCGCAGCTCAGTTCGGCTGCGCATGCATGGTCTTGGACCGCGACATTGAGGCAGCACTTCTCAGGCCTTTTAATTCTTCGCTGAGGTTGCAGCACGACGACGGGAGTCCATGGACGTGCTGTCATATAAGCTGCATAAGACGGAACGCAGAAGCTACGCGCATACATATCGACCGACGAGTCCCGCATCTCTCCGTTACAGCACCCCAGAGCTACGAACACGAATACACAGTACTCGGTATGAAAGGGCAAGGCTCGGAGTCGAGAAGTCCCCCGAGGCGTCCCACCTGCAGAACCCACCCGCGTCATCCCCGCAGCGTTGTACAGATGGTGCAGTCGATCTGGACGAGAGCTTCCGATTTGGGGGAGATCGGCATCGAAAGCCGGCAGTGCCTTGCTCTAGGTGCACAGCATTCATCTAACATGGCAAGCAAACGGGTTACACGAGATGGCAGACGTAACGCTCAGGTACCTAGATCCCCTTAGCAACTCCCACCCTCATGGAAGTACCCTCCTGCACGGCATGCTGATTGATGTACTGCTTCTAGCGATTTTGCGTCTGCCTTTTTTCCTTTCTGCAATGTGGTTACATGGTTCCTGACTCTCGAACGTCGTGGAGGTGCTCCTCGCTTTCGCAACGCAATATGATTCCCTGAAATTGCCTTTCTTGCTTGAAGCTAGGACATGTAGTGTCGCACTCATGGCAGAGAGGAAACTCTGTTTCAAGGACGAGTACGAACGCGCGTTCAGAGGTGCTCACCGTGCCCCCGCTTGGATCACGTCTGCGGAGGCTGCAGGACCACGAAGGCGTCGAACGCAAATGGGCGCCAATTCGGCACGCCTAGCGAGCTGCTGCGAGATCCAGGGTTCTCGAGGCGAAAGTTTATTCGTGCTCCAAGTACAGGCGCACCTGGGCTTGGGGCACAGGCATACCTATATCATGAGGAACCAAATGCTTTTAAACCTTCTAGTCTCGGGGTCAGCTGGAGAGGAGAAAAAGCCATTGCACGCCTTATCCTTGTTGATTTTTTAGATAACTTCGTTTGCCTACTTTGCCGCTGCAGGACTGCCGCTGCAGGACTGCCACTGAAAACCACCCGTTAGACTCGACAGGAAATCATGGGTGACGCCATTGAGCCGGAGGCGCAGCCCAACGCCGAGACGGCTCTCGACTTCGCCGCCGTGCAAGCCCGCTACGCACAGGAAAAGGCAAAGCGCCTCCATCCGGAGGGTGTCGAGCAGTACGTCGAGCTCACCAGCTCGAATAAGCTCCAATCCCTCGCTTCGGACCCTTGGGTCGACCATGACGCGCTCAATGCCGAGCCTCCATCGCTCCGCAACGGCGATGACATCAAGGTTCTCATCCTCGGCGCGGGCTACGGCGGCCTCCTCTACGCCATCCATTTCATCCAGCAGGGCATCTCACCGTCTGACATTCGTCTCGTGGACGCGGCCGGCGGCTTCGGCGGCACGTGGTACTGGAATCGATTCCCTGGCCTCCAGTGCGACACAGAGGGGTACACGTACATGCCGCTTCTCGAGGAGACGGGCTAGGTACCTAAGCACCGCTTTCTCCTACGGGCCCGAGCTGCTCGACTACGCCGGCGTGCTGGCGGACAAGTGGGACCTCCGCGACAAGGGCGTGTCCCGATCGACGGTGCAAAAGCTACGACTGGGACGCCGACCCCGTGCGGTGGAATCACCAAGATCCGGCAGGGCCGGGGGGCTCGGGGCAGGCCGACGGGGAGATGACGGGGCGAGCACAGTTTGTCGTTGTTCGCCAACGGGTTTGCTTCAACCACCCTAGTGGTCTCGGGCAGCCTGGAGGGGTTTCATGGGTCCTGAAAA